TTTATATATAAGTGGCTGTACACAAATACTGTACAGAACTGAATTCATTGTGTTTCCATTGTATTACATTGTTGAGTGGGATAGTTTCGTAGGGATTTTTTCTTATATTCTCCCATTGGCACTATTTCATGATGAATATTACCTTTACGTCGTAAAGAGCCTTCCACATAACTAAATTAACTAATTCCGCTAGTGACTAGCTTTCATGAATAGTTAACTTTAATCACCAGGAATTAATTATTGTAAGAATAAGAGATAATCAGTCTTTGTTGACATCGATTAAACGGTTGTTCTCATTAGAAGTTCTGGAAGTTTTCTTGATGAAATCTTGTACGAGATTATAGGTGTTCAATAATTAGTAATTCGAAACTGGGAAGAAACGGTTGTTAATTAGTTAGTGGTTTTCAGCGGTTCCTCCAAATGATGTCAGTTTGTGATGGAAGTTGTCACAAAACCACTCAGTCGACTTAATATCTGGAATTTCACACTTTTTAAGAGCTGAATACCGTTGTATATGTTTTTTAATGTTAAACATGGTTCGCTTCATTAATTTACATATGATTAGTAATATTTACTCCTCTCCTATCTGAGTGATGATTACTTTATCGGTTAAGTGAATTTGTTTAACGGACAACCACTTGGTTTTTCCAATTTCATTTTGTCTCATCATCTGAATTATGCGAGACATTTTGTTACCTGTCTTTTTATCACCTTTTGTGTGTGTAAGTGTGTACTTGACCTACAAAATACGATGATGTCACCAACAATAAGTTATAGGATAAGTGATCCAACTGTCAGCTAATTGTCATTATTCCAATCTTCTAATTCACGTTTGAACACTATCTCATTTTCATCTTGATTACAAGAAGCAACAAGAGTAGTGATAACAACAAACCTTCCTAAAAATAACTCTACAATACAGGACAAACACCTTCATCAATACTCTTGTGTGCATGTCTTCAGTGTGAAAATGAATAGTTGATTGTTGGTCAATAAAACTTGTTAAATAGGTAGAAATGTTCATTGAAAAAAAGATATTGAATACAGTTATTTACACTATATATGCAGATTTTTGGTATGTAGACAGTGAGTGTGAAATAAAAATGAACATAGGGATGTAACAGATAAATGTATAAGTGTAGAATTTCAATGATTTTATGTGCGAATATGCTGGGTTTGGTTGACTGTCAGGAAACTGGATAATTTTCTGTTATCTGTTGAATATTTTTGAAAAAAGACAAAACAGTAATATTTGAGTGTCTATAACAAAGAATACCATGTTTATACTTTAAGCGTTGTGTATTTCTTTTCTACCATTCCAACAGCAATGTCATCAACCACCACCACTACTACTGATGTAAATGATAATAGTAGTATTGGAGGAATGTGTAGGTATTTGACAGTCCTTCGGTATCAATACATTTTTAACTCTCAGAAAATAATAATTTTTAGCTTATATACAACAAACAGAGAACACTGACATTATCACAAGAGTATAGCTAAGAAAATCAGCAACAAACTAAATGTAAAAAGAAACTCATCCTATTCTACTTCTAAGTGATAGATTTTTTTAGGTTTTTAAAATTATCGGTTGTTTGGTGATTGTCGGCAATTTTCTAGGAAGGTAATTTCTATTTTTGTTGTGTGATAACAAATCCCCTTTCAATAAAACCTATATATATATATATATATATATATATATATATCTTTCTACCATCTGTCTTTCACCACCCTCTGCTGAGGTTTCTTCTTTGATATTCTCGTCAGTTAAAGTTATAATCTCCGACAACACTGAATAAGCGTATATATATACACTGAAATTTGCTTGTTTGAACAGGAAATAATGTTTTGTGTGGTAATATGGTATACATAAAATATATCAATCTTTAGAAAAATGACTATGAATACAATAGCATTAAGAAATAGGATGAAATTAATTATTTTAGACGTAGTTCGGATGAATATAGTTTGTGTTATTTTAATACTTTACACCTAGAAATTACTTATTAAATTTATAGTCTGACTTCATTTGAATTTTCAAATTCTATACAATGTCCAGTGTAAGATTTGATTTATTATATAATTCGAAAGAAATTGTAAGTTCCACTTTGTTAACATCATCATAAAATGGAGAGCAGATTGTATAGTTTAGATTTTAATTTATCTAATAATTAGATAGAATGTTTCGTATCAGCATCGTATTAGCTTGTTTGTTCAACCAGTAACATAAAATCATTTGTTTGTAAAGGTGATCTACTATCTACAAATTAATTAAATTGATCAACATTGAACCTCTCTAAAAATCAACTAGTATCCGCTAAAGCTCACTGGTAAACTTAAAACAAAGAGACGGTCTTATATTGTCCATACATTCCATATACTAACTTCTTTGTTACACTGGTTGTTAGAAGGGACATCGACCTTTTGGTTTTCGAATAATCTTGGCTTTCTTCATGAAGTGCCACAACTTTTCTATATAGAAGTTCTTTACATCAGAGCAGAGTCAACATTGATTAATTGGTTTATCCTACCTCGGCAGGATTGCCAACTTTAATCCAACTCCACACTTCATTTGAACTTAAGACAATCAGCAACCCCTGAAGGGTCCCAGGCGGAATTAAGACAGGGAAATATAGTTTGCAAAACACCCATCTGTATTCCCCTCGGCTTCAAATTTGATAGTTTTTCAAGTAAAACAAAATAAAATTCCTCAATAACACATCAAGTAGAGTCCATCCTGCAGGTAAACTAATTATTAATCCAATGTGAAAAAAAATCAAGTACACTAACCTAACAAAAGTTTGACATGTATCCGTTTCGTGTTACTGGCAATAGTTTATACTGATGTCGAGTCTGTAAATTGTTTAACTGACTTGTTTGGTAGTGAAACGTCAGATTCGTCGAAGCTTGGTAGGAATACAAGGACTGATGATATGGGTCTAATTGGACCCGTAAATAAATCCGATTGATATATGAATCCATGCACATATACATTGATTTAACTCATATTTAATGATTATTTCGCATTTGTCATATAAAAGAAGGTTACAGAGTTACTACACAAACCTTCGCTATGAATTCTACACTGAATTATTGCAACGGACATTATTTTAAGTAAACATTACACTGAAATAAACTTATGTTATATTGAGCAAAATATCACACTTAAAATATAACAGGTATTACACTGAGTAATCATCATATTAAATTAAAAATAGAAGTCGTATTGAACAAAACTACTGCCACATCACCTTCCTCTCCTAAAAATAGGTCTGGCTTCTTGATTTCAAATGAAGTCGTTGGGATGGGTGTATATTATATTATAGACTGAAGTAGCTATCCTGACAAAAAAGAGAACTGGTCTTATTTGTTTACATCATACTTTTTCAGCTCTTCCTCATATTCGCTCGCTTAACCATTTCATTTTGTCCAAGTTTATAATTGAGCTTTACTCATTTTATTATAATTTATTATTAGCATTTGTTTATTATGTAGCCACTTATTTTTAGCCCTTACTTCATTTGGTACCATCAATGTTCCAGAATGTTCTATTATATAAGATATACCTCTGAATTCTTTTAAAGTAATTATTATTTCAGTTGTCATCCATTCGATAGTGTAAGAAGGGTGTAGGCTCGATTGGCAAACATTTGAAGATCAAATAAGGAAAATAAAATGTAGAATTGTTCTTGCAGATGACCGAATCCAGTATATTTTCCACAAGTAATTATATTAGTTTAGTCATAATGAAATAAATGTAAATGAATAGCATATGTATAGAATTGTAGCCAGTATTTGATTAAATTTTTTCTCCCTTATTAATATTTTAAATATATATGTGGTTTATGCTACTTACGTCTGTTGACATAAGTAGTATATAACACCAATCAAAAGTGGAATGCTTGACAGCAGAAGGTTGGGAAGATCGAGCCGAAGAGAATGGGAACATAGAGTAATTGTAAAAGTAATGAAGAAATTATGAAGTTTGAGACAATTGATGGAGGATTCGCAAATGAAGTACTGAACGTATGGTTTTAACATTTTACGAAACGACTCATTAATTTCGTACTAAATAATAAATTGATCTTCCTCACCCAAGTCTTTTTCATTACATATATACCTTGATTTAATCGACCTTTGATTATTTTCATAAATATCATCATTATTATTTATAACGTTTCATTTTGATAGTGAATTCGATGAAAATTGACTAAATATATCAAATTGGTACATACACCACAGTATGAGGTCAATAATTCGTTGATCAACAATTTTCAGAACGAAGATAGAATGAATGCTCACTGCTGTGGAGTCCTACAATAAAACGAAACGGCCTTCCAGTGCTTCCAGGTTTTCCACGATGGTCTAGCTTCAATTGACTCATGATTTCAACTATATATGAAGATAGAATAGTTTGTTTCTTATTCATAGTGCTCAACCATATGTAAAAAAAACATGATTTTTGATCCCAGAGAACAAAAGTAATATGGTATAGAAAGGTTATATTTTAATAAAACTAAGTGTGTTCTTTTCAAATATTATCGATTAAATGTACTTTATATCATAGCTGAGGAGTCCCATAACAGGACGAAACGGCCGTCCAGTGTTTCCAGATTTTCCATGGTGGTTTAGCTTCAATTGACTCACGCTTTCAACTATGATAAATACTAAATTTCCACAAAACCCCTTCTATAATTAGTACTTTAAAACGTTTTCTTTTTCTTAAATTTCTGTGTTTGTAGGTTCCTTTATTTGTTTCGAAGTATATAAAAACTTCAATGATAGTTAGTTTTCAATGATCAATTGGAATATATATTTAAATTATTATTGTTATTAATGACAATTACAGTATGTTATGCATTGAACAGTTTACATCTAGATCTACATGAGACAATCCACTTTAATTATATCATTAACAATAATACAAAGGATTATTTATTAAAGCATGTCATTAATGTAGATTGATTTCTGTTCTCGTGTATAATAAAAGATTGAAACTAATGACTGGAAGTGACTCATCAATGTGTGATCTTGAAGTCAAATCATCATTATCATTGACAAGTCACTTACATGAATATCAACGAAATCCATTATTTCACATTAATACCACTACTCTTACTACTACTACCATTAATAATCATATTAACACAACTTCTATTAGCAATTATCAACAACAAAATGACACTATGTATGACAATAATAATGATAGTAATGTTGATAGTGATATGAAAGTCAAATCATCTATGAATGATTGTATTAATGACAATACTATAAATGATACACATTCTACCACTGTTGTCCACGCCGAAAATGAAAGTAAGTTGGTATAAGATTGACTTCATTCATTCATTCTTCTTCTTCGAAAAAAACATTTTTTTTGATGTGTAAATCACACACCACACGGCACCTGACCAAAATTACTGACAAGTTACAAAGGTAGGAACTAAGTTGACATACACTGAATCACACATTTTCGCTAGTGTCAAAAGCTGCTAAAACCTTCAGGTGCAGAAGCTAAACCATTAATAAGTTGGAATTCGTGATATATAATGTACCAGTTGCATATTGTCATCAGTAATGTCTATTTTTTTCTTGATTCTCGGTTCAAACTCTGGTGAAGTCGTGAGTGAGCACTATTGACAAATTAAAAAATAAAGGTGAAACAATTGTTCTATACTTCTTGATTTCCACAGTGTATTTGATTGAAAACGCTTCATGATGAAAGTCTATTCATAATGAATCAATCTCTTATTAATGTGAAACAACACATCATTATTTATAAAAGAAATCATTAGTTTCTAAAATAGAAGACAAATACTATCTTCTCTGTTTATGAACTCCTCAATGAACAAATGGATGAATGAAATAGAGAAGAATAAATATAGACACAAAGTATATTACTAGACAACAATTTGAAAAAGCGTGTAAAAGTGAAAACATAAACGTTCATATGAGAATGAAATAGAAAATTTCATTCATATAAGCAAATAACTACAACAGGAAATTGGTTAAAAGGTTACTGATGACCTCTATCGCAGACGTTTTCCCATTGAAACTATCAATCCAGTTCTTTAGAAGTCAACTGTCGAACTAATCTAAATTCCACTCTTTTTATTAATCTCTGTAAATCGTAATAAATAACAAGACTATTCAGGGATCATATTAATTTAACAAATTATGGTTTCCATAATTTATGCATAGTTTTAAGTTATATAACGGTCATTCACAATTGACAGACAGTTGCTAGGTGAACTTTTCTCATTCATACGTAATATCTAACGCCTTAAGCACTATCGAACAAACTAAGATTCTCATTCATTTCATACACATATTTCCCTTTATTATCTTGAGGAGAGTAAGAACGAAGGTTGGTCAGAATCAGTGAGCCACGATTACTTATTTCAATTCATACATTCCTTTATTACCATTAATCTATTTTCGGTTGCTCCAATAACGCTTCATCTAATGTTTGTTAACTCCATTAGTTCTAATCACTATTTCAATGTTCTGGAACTTTCTCTCCCAAACGTTTTTCATCCGAAACAACATTTTTATGATCATTTTAACTCGATTAAAATCTTCACTACATCGTGATGTATATATTCATCTTTAATCACCCTCGTATGTATGAGTATGTCAATATCTGTAATAACGTTGATTTTCAAATATTTTAGGTTGTAAGTAGCTGGTGAAAATCTAACGAAATAAAATGAACCCATATTATTCTGCACCGATCTTCGTTTTTGCTCTCTTTAATTCTCATTTATATTCTAGAATAATACGTTTCTTAGCAGTGATTATTTGATTGGAAGTTACTGATGATACCTAAAGATGATTTTTTGAATCTTATAAACTGATTGAAATTACAAATGCAAACTATTTAGATCGCTAATGAAGTCAAGCACTCTTTAAACGATAACTTCGATTTCTGTGTCACATTTCCGACGAGGTTGTAGATATGTACTGATAAGAAATTTTATACTAGGACGAAATAATTATCAAATCAATCCTTGTTTTCAATAGTTGTCTAACTAAGATTAATCTATATTGAAAAACTATGAACTCACTATGAACTCACACTATATAGTATTAAATTCATTGTTTCAAAGCTATCATAGAGATTAAAATTTATTTATCTTTACAAACTCTTTAAAAACAGAAAAAGAATGCTCAACAATGTTTTACTCCATAATACTTTACTACTTATTTAACAGGTTTATAGCGTTATACTTTATAATGTTTACAATAAATACAATAACTGAGATACTAAGGTTATTATTTATAAACTTTAATCAAATCAAAAATGTAACAGAACTAGAGAAAAATATCTGTAAACTCACTAATATAATGAATATTAATTCAGTTTTTCATTGTTTGTTCGAGTGAACATCAACTCTGGGATGCAGGTATATCCATCTGATGAGTCCTAAAATAGGACGAAATGTGCGTCCTGGATTCCACTGCACACTACTACCCATCTTCGTTTATAATCCTTATGAAATAATGAATATTGTTTATAAAGATGAAAATTAATAAAAGGGAAAATTATTTTTAAGTAGATTCTTAATAGCAGTGAGAATTATGGAGATTTAAAAGACGATTAAATCATAGAACGATCACTGGAATTCTATAGTGATGAAAACAGTGAATAATTCATATGTCTTGTGTCGGAATGACTGTTAATTAAAAGGATGTAAATATTGATAAACTATGAAAAGAAGAAACATTTAAAATGCCCCATTTTTCAAGACTTTCATGCATAATTCATGACTGGAAACTGATATAAGTGCACTACTAAAAATAAAGAATATATTAGAGAGTACAAGATTAATGTACCCTACATTTTGTACAAAAACACTTTATGACCTCAATCTGTATATCTACTGAACAGACCACATACTATCAGTTATGGTCTTTTTTCACATTGAATTGTTCATTAATTTTTTGTAATAAGATAATTAACTAGGAAATGCAGAGGAAAGTTTTAATTATTATGTCAACCACCCACCATCTCCCTACCTTCCGAAAAATTATAACTATAAACTAATCAGTAGTATAATTAGTAGTTAATGATAATAAACTTTTGAATAACTGCGATCATATTCTAACTCCTTTTGGTTAGAAAAGATAATCAATAACAGTAATAATAATAATTAAAGAAAAAAGACAAACAGGTGGGTGAAAATTGAAAAGTGGAAAGGAGAAGGAAACCAGTTAGCTTTATAATAAGAGATGATCATGGAGATGATAGATAACAAAACAAATATATCTTATTTATGTTTGAATGAAAATTAATCATTCTATATTCATGTTAATTACTATAATCATTAGTATAACAAATAATAATGATAATGGTAATAATAGAAGAAATAAAATAGATTACATCATTCAATAATTTATAAAGGCCACCAAGTAGATAAATTGACTTCTTTACAAAATATTAATAAAACTATGAATGGTTAATAAGCAATGAATAGTTTCAATAATATCTTATTGATTATTTAATTGTAAATTGACTTTCCGGTTAACACTTTATTCATTATATATACTTGAAATCATGAGTCAATTGGAGCTAGACTATCGTGGAAATCCCGGATGCACTAGACGGCCGTTTTGTCCTATTGTGGGACTCCTGTACGGTCTCACGTCGCGAAATTCGAACCCAGGATCTACCAGTCTCGCGCCAGAGCGGTTACAAGTGATCAGGATTCCATGGTTTCCTTTTATTTCTCCTTAGGTGTTAAATTAATAATTGTTACGAGTATTTAATCAAAATTTTGTATAGATTGGTAAAATTTAAGTTGTAACCTGAACAATATTTCACTATCATAATCATTAACTTTACAAGATGAGGATTTTATACTCAGTAAATTAGTTATCCAAATTTTATGATTGTTGACGGTATGGCCATATGATCCAAAAGTCTGTGTTTACATTTAATCATGTTAAGGAAGGAGATCTAAAAATAAGAATGTTTGGTATTCATGATTTAACAAATAAAGAGTTCGACTAAGATAGCCGATATTAATGTACAATAGATGAGAACATAAAATTAGCTCATAATTTATTTATATAGACTTCAACTACTTATTAGTAGCTCAGATGTTTTGTAAAAAGTGTGGGTTTTAATTTTACAGTCGGTCATTCATTTGTTAGTTAATGATAGATGTTTTCTCAAGAACAAGGTTAAGTGTAACAATGAATATGTTTATTCGGTGGACTGAAGTTAATTTCGCTCTTAAGGATTTCTGCTTATAAGTGCGAAAAAGTTTAAACTACCTTTAATAAGTAAAATTGAATGAGTAATAATATAATTTCTTTTTTATTAAGTACCTTAGAATAATTTGTATAGTTGTAATGTAAACTGTCTTGAAGGCAATAAGTTGTTAAAACCTTCAACTATGTTTTCTTTGGCTTATTTGTCATTCAACTAAAGTTTTAGGTTGGCAATTGTTCCACATTTTGAATTTGAAAAACTGAGTATCATAAATAGCCATACTTTAAAATGTGTTCCTTTACGAAACCATTCAGTTAAGGATTACTGACAATGTGGAAGTCTTCTCCGAAGCCAAATCAAATAGACTGAGAAAACCTAGATAATAAAAGTGATCTACAAGCTTTATTATGCGATATTCTTGAAGCCTTGGTCTTTATAGAATCCTTTAGATCAGCTTCATAATTTATCTATCATGTTGCGTGACTTAAGACCACAGCATACATTGTTTAAAGTTATATGGTTGTAGGGGATGAATTTGAGAAAGACAATTCATATAATTCTTGTGATCAAGGGAGTTTGACTTTGTAGGGTGTGGACGAGTTAGTCAACAATGAAACTGGAAGATGGTTGTGTAATTTCATAGACTGACTGAAGTTTAACGTGCAAATTACTGAAAGCTGGCTATGTGATCTAAAGGTGAAACGATAGTAAAAAAGCCAGACGTCCTGTGTTCTATCTTCTATGGAGTCGTGGGTATGTACTGAAGAAGAGTCCTGTCCTAGGAAGAAACAGCTGTTTAGGGCTTTCCATTTTTTAGTCATTATTTGGCTATGGTTAGTTCACGACGACTGAAAACTTCGGTTTTAATTTATCTGAATAGTCATATATTCACTTAGCTTGTCAACGTCTCCATCACCCGAAATTTGTTCTCTTAGTAATTGAAGTTTAAGTTTTGAAGTTCTGTTATTTTGTCTACAACGTTTTGCTTTACTAGTATACCAAAAGCCAACTTTTCTGTTTTAAAGATCCTAGAAGACCAATACCGTTGACGAATACATCAAATTTAGAAGGTGCAACATCTAATGTAAGTGGTAACAGTAATTTCCAAACAATGTCTGGAAATACAATTTCATTTCTGCCAATTTCCGCTACACATGATGGTCGTTATGAATGGCCACCTTCAATTAGGTATTCATCAGCTAATACTGATCGATTCATTCAAGGAACTAACACAAACACTGATAACAGACAAGAAAATTTTAGAAATCAACTAATAAGTAATAACAATAATAATTATAATTTCAAATCCGCACTTCCTACCAACAATACGTCAGATAATGAAATTAATCAAACGAACCATCAAAATTTGTAAGTTATTAATCACGTTTTTTTCGAAATTTTGAAATGTTTCTGGGTTAACTTGAATAAAAATTTGTATGTACTGTTTTTATGGGAAAATTGAAAACAGTGAAGTGTCGTGCATAGTTAGGCCACCATAACAATTCATTATCATAGTAACAGGGTACATTCGGTGTTTTTTTTAAAAACTGATTGGTTTAGTGATAAAGTTTCCATTATCTCTCTAGATAACATCACCAATAGAAGCTCCAGATAAAATTGAGTTGATGACTTTTGTTACTTTTGGAAAGAGTTATGTAATAGGGTCCACAAGAGCAATTATTTATATATGTGTATTGAAGTGGTCCATAGTCATAGTTCATTATCAAAACATTCAGGAATTGCACTAATGTTACACAAATTTGGATATAAATCATATGTTTCTTTTAAATCAAACATCAATTTCAATTTTAATTTGTTTTGAGTTTTCACTGTAAACATATAAATGACCAAGAAGAATGCTCGAAGACAAAGGAATTATGAGACTATTGAAAAAAGTATTTGTAGGGAATAAAAGCGGACAGGAAAATGATTAAACTGTAACAGGTTTCGTTCCTCAATTTTCAAATTATGACTGGTCAGAACTATCTCTTTTATTGCTAGAATACTATGTTCAAGACGGAAAAATAAATGAGAAATTGGACGTTAACGAAGAAAACGTAATAACGAATGGTTACTCAAGGAAATTTATTAAGAAATATGGAAATGAGCGACCCACAAATAAAAAACAAATGGTTGTTTACAAAACTTTGTCTTTATCTGCCTTCTATTTCAAGGAGACGAGATTTCAGGAAGAACAGATGGAAAATTCAAGACAACACTGTTAACTTTATTATAAAAGAGCAAATGTCATTAAACTATTCAAATGTAGTCCAAAACCCTTTTAAGTAACCTTCAGTTACATACATGAATCTATATATACCTGTCATAGTAAATACTCAGAAATGACAAAGAGAAAGGTTTCTGCCAAGTTATCTGAACACAATTAGAGGAACGTATGTCTGAAAGGTGGTTATGTTTTCATACATTCAATCGTCTGGTTCATAGTGAATAGTGAATATAAATTCAATATCAGTAATGCATTCAAAATAGTTAATAAACAACCAAAACTGATTTTACTCCGTTATGCAGAAGCAATTGCTAACAAATGTTGCTGACTTAACCTACGTTTAAAGAAAGATAGCGTGGATTTAGTTTCTGCGTGCGGGATCGTGGATGAGGACTGCCGAGGAGTACTATAATAGGGAGAAACGGTTGTCCAATGCCTCCAGCTTTTCAATAGTAGTCTAACCTAGATCAGCTCATGGTTTTAATGAAACTATACAACCAGTTACTATTTTTATAACAATCTCATAATCAATTTTTTAAAAGATCTGATTATTAGCAACCACAACACTACTCTTTTCATTCTACAGTACTATTATTGTTACTATTCTGATACTTTTAATTATATAATTACTCATCGATCATAATTATGTTCAATCATATATTTTGTCTCCTATTCTTATGACTTTTGAGTCCCTTTTCGAAATCATTCATCTAAAATTGATTGATTAATGTGTGTTAGATCTGTCTAGTTATGATTGCATTACACCTTATTAATTTATTCTTTTTGACAGCTGATTAGAGACCGCAAAATAAAATGACTTTATCTTATTCTATAAACATAATTATTCTTGTACTGTTTACATATAAATTTTTTTCACATAACAGTATCTGTCAGTCATTATTGAGAAGTATTTCTACCTGTTTCGTTGATCCAATGCTTTGAATTTCAAAATTCTTCGTTGTTTTATCATAGTTGATTAGTCTATTCGATGATTCTTGTGGTAAATGAAGAGATTAAGACATTGATAACATCTTATATGATCTCATTTGTGATATATCATTGAAAGAGGCTATTGTAGCGAACAAACTCTCAGATGGGAACAATGAAATGTATTTTAATACAAAATTACAGAATATAAAAACCAGACATTAAATACTTCATTCGCAGATCATCTTTCATCAATTGTCCTTCACATTCTGTAGGATTTTTTTCCAATTCAAAATTTCTTTATATTTCCCTTTCTGTTTTCTTCAAATCGATCTTCTTAGTTTTCTGCTTTCAGGGTTTCCTCTTCCAATCTGTAATACACACTACTTATGTCGACAGATACTACTAGCACATACCACACTATGAATTGTCGATGTAATAGTCTTTCACTATTTCAAGCAGTGCTATTTGAAATTAAATTTTGTTTTTTATCATTAGGAATGCAGTGGTTATTGATTCTATTAATTTATTGAACAGTTATTTGAAGACATTTGTTTAGGTGTAATTTACAGAGACATTGTTTCATAATGAATTTAAGGGGTATGTGCAAAGAAGTCTAATAAAAACCAATAAAATATGAATATGAGATTTCATTCAAGCTTTTGGGAACAATTATGTTTGGAACATAATGGTTACAAATAACTCTTTGAGACTAGAATTCAATTTTTATATTAAACCCAAGAGCGTGAAATAATGACTTTTTGAAATATAACAGAATAATACTTCCTAATGATTATTCTAAATTTATTTATACAAAGAATAGGGAACATTTAGTGGTTGTAAATGATCGACAGGAAGCTTTGGAGCTAAGTTTAGTCTGAAAAGGAACTAATGTCCCTTCCGAGATTTAAGCGCCAGTCATGCAGTTTCATAGTCAGAGATGTTATTTATTTATTTATTTATTTTATTTATTTATTTATTTTGAAACTGATTTCTTTTAGGAACTAACTGTTTGTGTTAACTGACCACTGAGTATTAATGGATGTTATGTTTGTCTTGTCTTTCATGCTGATTAAATTCTATCAATAAGGTTGTAGTATAATCACTAATTTAAGTGAATCGATATCCTATGGACTAGCAGCGGTGTTAATGCTATAGTGCTACGTAAACATGTTTATCGTAGTGAGAATAACCTAAAAAGTAATATCATACACAATGTTTATGAATTCTTTAGTGTGTAATAAAATTAAACGGGGTTATGAATACAGTAACTAAATGTACTAGATGATTAGTAAAGTCATCTAAACATTTGTCTGAACAGATAAATACATTTGGATAAACGTATTGACTCATCGTTTGGTTCTATGAGACTCTTTAACTATTTCATTAAAATCTAACCTGAAAAAATCATATTTAATTGACTGTTCTGGATTATACAAAAGTGCCTCTGGAACTTTATGAAAACTGGTATTTTCATGGATGTTCAAACCAACCCTAGGATTTTTGTCAATCAGAACTCCAAGCCACCACTTATCATTTATGAAGCCATGTCAAGTACAATAATAGATCATAGGATATAATTTGTTTATAGTTCTCTTTGACAACACCATTCTATCAATCTACTTTGCATCATCTACATCGAACTACAAGAAGCAAATATTTATATTATTATCAGAAGGGGTTTTGTGGAGATTTAGTATTTTCATAGTTGAAAGCGTTAGTCAATTGAAGCTAGATCACCATGGAAAACCTGGAAGCAGTGGACGGTCATTTCGTCCTACTGTGGGACTCCTCAGCAGTACTCATCCACGACCTTGCCTAGCGAGATTCGAGCCCAGGATCTACCAGTCTCACTGAAGACAATTGGTGAACGATTGCTCAACTTTGTGGATTGGTTGAAGTTAGAAATTAACACCATCGGATGTCGGCCCAGTGGTCTATCGGTTAAGTGCTCTGGCGCGAGACCAGTAGGCCCTGAGCTCGAATCTCGCTAGGCGAGATCGTGGATGCGCACTACTGAGGAGCCTCACAGTAGGACGAAACGGCCGTCAAGCAGTGCTTCCAGGTTTTCCGTGGTGGTCTAGTTTCAATTGACTCATGCTTTCAACTATGAAAATATTTATATACTGAATGTATTTCTTTATTACATTTAAGTCCTTTTTATAAGGTCTTGCTTTTCTCATGAACCTCAAAAAGTTTTAAATCAAAGTATATACAATATGAACATTTATTCTCGTCTAAACATATCAATGAACATCAAGAAATCATTATTTATTACCTCCAATATTATCATGGATACCAACTAATTTAAGACGAATATATTACTCTTTTCATATCATCATTACCTAATGTAGACTTTAACAGTTCCTTTTTTTTTCTAAAATATTATTGTTCATATAATTAGCTCATTCAATAATAAACAAAGAAAAATCGTTTCCAATTTTTTTGTGTATGTTATATTTATCAGTTTTATAATTTACCAATGATTATCAATTTTTTTTCTCTTTTTTTTGTTTTACAAAATCTAGTTTATCTGTGTTGTGATCTTGTTTTCTCTCTGTTTTTTTTTGTTTTTATTTAAATTTTGAAACGCTTACCCTACCTACCTTTTTCAAATGTGAAATAATCAATAAAGATATATAAATTTATGTTTTTTTTTCTCGTTAAGATGAAAAATATGTGCAACAGGTGTTTATGTTTGTCCATCTTATATATATATAAAATATACAAAGATATTTGGAAACTAAAATTTGGACACCGATTAAGAGAAAAAACAATTACACACTACATGTTATATATATTCAGTTAGACAGTATCCAAATACCATTTAGTTGTTGTAAGGTGTTTGCAAACATACATATTTATCAAATCAGATTTCATGTATGCATATCTAAATATTTATAAAAGTAGATAGGTTTATCGGTCAAATGCTCTGACGCGAAACTGGTAGGTCCTGAGTTCGAATCTCGCGAGGCGGGATCATGGGTGCGCACTGCTGAGGAGTTCCACAATAGGACGAAACGGCCGTCAAGCAGTGCTTTCAGGTTTTCTACGGTGGTCTGGCTGTAATTGACTAATAATTTCAAGTATATATATATAAAAGTAGGTATTGTATAATTGAAGGATATGAATATCTTTACTCTGTAAATGTTTGATAAATATTCGAATAAATCTTCCTTTCGTAATCTTTAACAGGGAGGAGTGATTAATTATG